CCCCTCCCCCCCTCCCTCCCTCCCTCCCTCCCTCCCTCCCTCCCTCCCTCCCTCCCTCCCTCCCTCCCTCCCTCCCCTATCGTCCTATGCCCTGCAAGGTCTGTGGCGTTTTGGGTGCCTTCAGGGACTGATTTAGGCTTCACGATGGAGGGTTTTGAGCGATGTACTAGGCCCCTTGCACTAAAGCTCACAAAATGCGCAACGCTACAAACTGCCCCCAAACCACAAGCCCTGAAGCCCAAACTCACACAGGCCTGCGTAGCACCTACTGAAGCCAGATGCACTGTCGTCCGAACCCACGCAGACGCCAATGTCTTGGGCTCTATAGACCCACCAGGACCTGCGACAATCTCCGCGCGTCCCTTTTCCCGGGTAGAGGGTGCTTAAATTCTACTAACCCGACAAACCTCCAGCTAGCACCGACCTACATGGCGATTCGGGCACTCATGGCTTTGTAGCGAGGTCCTCATGCATGCAGCAAGCTTGGAGAAGTACGGCGGGTTTGCTCGCCAAAAGAATTTGGGCCTCATTGCATGGCAGGTGGGACAAGCGGTCGATTTGTTGGCCAGGGGGCTCCTACGACAGAGCCGCCGACATCTTGAGCCTCCTCTTGCTCATGTTAGATCAGGGCAGCCTCGACAACGGAGATTTTGGATTGGCCTGGGTTCTTACCTTGCAAAGCGATCCTCCGCTGGGCCTGTTCCAGGATCTGCACTCTCTGCCAGGAGCCTCGAATCTCACCTTCAGCCCGCTTGGCGATACTCGGTGGATAACAACGGCGCTCTCCTATCTCAAAGAGATAGACGCAATAGGGGCCCGGAAGCTCGAGATCAAGGCCGATCCCGGTGACCACAACCCAGCCGCTTGCGAAGTCGTTGGGTCCTCCGAGAAAGAGGGACGGACTATGACGTAAACCCTAAATCCCCTGACCCTAAAGCGTCAGAGCATTTATCCCTAACCCCTAAAGGTTCCTTCAACCCTCCTGAACCCATTGACGAAGCCTTGTCTTGGTCTGGCAGTTTCGGATAGTTTCGGGTTGGGCTGAGGCCCAGAGTTGAGGGTTTTGGGTTGAAGGTATAGCCCAGCACTAAAGCCCCTAATCTCTATACCCCCAACCCTAAACCCTATACCCTAAACCTTAAACCCTAAACCCGAAACCCAACCCTAAACCCTATACCTAAGTCCTGCACCTCTGAACACCCGAAACAAAATCCCAGGAAGGGCACCTGAAGACCCTGAAGTCCCTAAACCCTAAAATACTAAACCCCTTAACCCTCTAAACCCTAAACACCCTAAACCCTAAACCCTGAACCCTGAAGCCTAAACCCTAAACCCTAAACCCTAAACCCTGAAGACTCTGAAGTTCGCAAGCTAGCGGCCCCGAAACCCCCGAAATCCCCAAGCGCTCGTCCGGTCTCCGGCCTAAACCCTAAATCCAACTATGCCAGGTTTAGGGTTTAGGGTTCAGGGTTTGGGGTTTGGGGTTTAGGGTTTAGGGTTTAGTGTTCAGGGTTTAGGTTTTAGGGTTTAGGGTTTCGGGTTTGTCCGGCCTGAACCCTAAACCCAACGATGTACATTCCCTTCTAGATGTATCCAGTGGGAGACATTTCAACTTTTTGGCCTGATATATTTGGTCTATCTTAGAAAGTCTGCACCTTTATTCGGGCCCGTTTGGTTGCAACCCTAAACCCTGAACCCTAAACCCTAAACCCTAAACCCTAAACCCTGAGAGTTCCGACTCCGCCACCGAGGTCTTCGGTATGCTGACTTTTGTGCTGAACTTCATTCCGACGCCCAGTGGCAGATGGGTGCTTCTCAGTTCGGGCTGCGGTTGACCCTAAATCCTAAACCCTAAGCCCTAAATCCTAACTCTAAATCCTAAACCCTAAGCCCTAAATCCCTAAATCTTTAACCCTAAATCCTAAACCCTAAACCCTAAATCCCTAAATCCTAAACCCTAAACCCTAAACCCTGAACTCTAAACCCTAAACCCTAAACCCTGAACTCTAAACCCAAACCCCATGCCCATGAAAGTTTGGGAAACAAGCGCCGGGCCATCGTTTTTCAACCCGTTTTGCTCTGTTCGGCTTCTTCCTGGACTCATCAGCAAAGGAAGGGCCGCCCCTTCTTCGTTTACGGCTACTTCGTGATGTGGACTATAAGGGCATTGTACGGTTGTTGTGAGGAATCCTATAGGAGCACGATAAGCTACCACTATAAGGGAACGACGGGGCTACGAGTTTTGAGGCTGTAAGGGTAGGATAAGTATGAGGGGACCTAGGGGGAACCCTAAACCCTAAACCCTAGGGTCACTCCTTTGGTATTCCACAAGGTTAAGATATCCTCTTGGAGCAAGGTCTTCAGGAACCAGGCGCGGTGTTTTTCGTGGTATCTAGGTAGTGTTATTAGGGGTACCCCTTGAAAGGGCCCCTTCTGAACCCTACTTTTGGCTCTCTTAAAAGGGACCTTATTGAGAGGGTCTATATCCCCAAGGGTCCCCCTAATCCTAGCTCCCAGTATCTCATAAGCCTATATAGGCCAAACGGTCCATGTATTTATATACTCTCCCAAGTAGTAAGCTTCAAAACAAGTTATGATTATTAGATCCTTTGGACCCTTAGGGTCAACCCCTAAACCC